ACCAATTTAAAAGAAGGGCTGGAACTTTGATTTTTAAATCTTTGTGCAAACCCATCCATGAGCATCCTCAGCCTGCCCATTACAGCTCTCTATTATAAATCCTGCAAACCAACCTCAGCGGCTGAGGTCACTCACCTCCATTCTGTGGCTCGGCTTTACCTGGAATGCCAGCTCTGCTTTCCCTGTAACCTCCCTCCTCTCTAAACCATCTGATGGAGTATTATATTCTGAAAGACCCAGTTGAAATGCAATTTCTTCATTAAGGCTTCTGTGGTTACCTCCCCACCATCAGCTCTAATTGGATGAATCTCTCCCAGCCTCATGTTTCCAAAGTAAGTTGTGGTATGGACTTCCCCATGGGATTGGCATCCCTCCTGGCCTAGAGCCCTGCCCATTAATCTCTGTAGCACCAGAGGCTATCCAGGAGTCTTCCTGTGAATATGCCCTGTGCTTTAAAGCAAAGGCTGATCTTCAAATTCAGCTTCACCTCTAGGCAAACCTCACAGGTACATATGGGCTAGAAGAGCTGCGCCTGGATGGTCCTAGAAAGCCCATCCACAAATCAACTTCACTTTTTAAGATCACAACTGAATGTAAGGACCCTGGGTGTGGCCTTGCCTGAGAGTGACTAGCTGTGTGGCCGATGGTGTCACACTCTGTGGTGTATGTGCTGGGATAAAATGAAACTCCCCTGGGTAGTGGGTGAGCCTCAGACCTCAAATCAGAATGGACAGGAGAGGGCTGGCTGTACCACAGTGCTGGGACTGTTCCCTTAGGCTTTGTGACCAGCAAGGACATCAAAATGCCTAAGTTCAGCTCAACCAACAAGAAGTGGTTGGACAGTTGGCAAGATCAGGGGGCTGGAAAGACAAGGGCCCTGGCACCTGGGAGAGCCTTTGGTGGCCATGGAGTAGGCATAAAGTCCAGGGGTGGAGAAAGTCAGCAAAGATGATCAGAAACCTGTGTCCTGCATCATGGGAACAGGAGAAGGTGATGTCATCCCAGGTTCTATCCCTAGGAGTTTTGAACAACCTTAGCAGGTGGCAAGTGAACCCAGGAGAGGGTTAGTGTCATCAGACCCAAACCCTAATTAAAAGAGAACACAGTGATGGTGGCAGTGAAATCAGGGGACACTCAGGGCAGGTGAGGTAGGAGAGAGGTCTGGGCTCAAGTGGCCTCTTCTTCAGGAAAGTCTTTGAAAACCAAGTCAGAGGGTCCAGGTTTGCTTCATCATTTGCTCAACATTTTATGCTAAGGACCTGTTTAGAGTCAGATCCTCACCGGGCACAAGGGACACAGGGAAAAATTAACCAGACTCTGCCCCTGGTGGCGGGGAATCCATCACACTGGTAAACAAAAGCTGCACTGTCCAGAGGGAGCTATTGGGAAAGCGGAACATGAAACATTTTATATCTCAGCCCCAGTGTGGTCCGCAGGTTGAACACTTGTTTTTCAATGTCATCACTGAATATTCAGTGTCTCCAATTGGGGTGAAGGATTTAGGGGACATAGGGCTAAGAAAAGCAGCCTTGGAAGTGAAGGCATCACTAACTCAAGGACAGTAGGCATATCAGAGAAGGACTCCTTCCAGGAGATTCACATTACACAGTGGACATTTCACTCCCGCTCATCCTCAACCCAAGCCCATCTAGCCATGATGGATGCACCACCCGGCTCTACACATACACAAACTGTTCTTGAGTCCCCAGCTCAGGAAAGGCACCATGTCTACTCCACAACCCAGGCCAAAACCATGACAGCAGGAAAGCTCCCTCTGCCATGGGCCATAGTTCCTAGGTCCCTCATGTCTCACTCCTTGACATCTCTACACTGTCCATCCTCCTCTTCAGCTGAATAGCAATAGACTCAAATGGTCTACCAGTCTCTAGCCAGGACCCCTCCAAGTCCATTCACCTCCAGGCATCAGAGGGCTTTTCTGAAAGGAAAACTGGATTCTGTCATTTTCCTGAATTCTTCAGTGGATCTCCATTCCCATGAAAATAAAGTCCCTTTGTCCTTCTGTCTGCCTCGAGGACTAGACACACAGAATAACTTTCAGACTTCACAGCACACCTCTCTCTCAAGGCAGATGCGCACAGTTTTCCCTGCCTGGAAAGTTCTCCCTGTCCTGAGCATCCTTTGTGTATCGACTCAGGTGTTGCCTCCTGGGTTGGACTTGCAGAGCTGTGCCTCCTCCATGATACACCTAGAGTAACTGTCTCTAAAGCCCCTCTCCACCAGGCTATGCTAGGGCACCAGCACCCAGCACGAGGCCTGAAGGAGGAGTGAGGACGGGCTCTCGGGTCTTAAGGGTCCTACTGATTTTCTGCTTATTGACTCAGTGGGCAGAAGGCCACCAGGACAGAAAAGGTGAGGTTGTGAGAATTTAGAAACAAAGCCAGGAGCCATGCTGGCAGTTCAGCTAGCTCAATGAGGAGGTGACGCATGCGGCACTGAAGGTCAGTAGATACACATTTAATGTTTCCAGGGTAGATGCCTCAGGGCACTGCAGCACTTGCAGCTGGGCACGGCCATGCCTGAAGTCAAAGGTGAACTTGGGTCAGATCTGGATCATGTTTGTTAAGGATTTGGTATGTACCAGAGAACACATAGTTTATCCTTCAAATCAGGACTCTTAAGAGTGAAGGAGGGTGCGATTAAAAACATACTCTGGGACAATAGGTGTTGACCAGAACGGCCCCAGGAAGACAGAAACTTATGACCAGCTGCTTATGTCACCCTTTGTGCTTTTAAAAAAATAATCCCTGATATGCTTTGTTAATCTATTATTATCACTATTCACTTCTTTAACGTCTATTTCCCCATTGTATTATAAAGGATAGGGTTTCCTCACCATTAGAACTGCAGTATCTGGAATAGAGAAATGTGGTACATAAGTGTTTGTGGAAAGAATAGAGTAAAAGCCTGGGTGGGGATCAGGCCTCAGGTGAGACCACAACCTGAATGGACACCTTGATTGAGCCTCTGAGACCCTCAGCAGAGGACCCACATTCCAGAAAATGAACTATGAGATATGAATGCAGGCTATTTTAAGCTTCCCTCTTACCCTCAAGTACTATTGGGGGCTGGGAGTTGGGACCCTGTTCCAGGTCACCTAGACTCCTGTATTAGTTGCCTGTATACTTTCTTGCGCTTGAGGCAAGAAGTCCTGAACTCTCAGGAAGTTTATAAAACTAGCCCAGCTTCCATAGTTTACTTATTAGGATCCAACAAGCTCATAGTCAATGTATTCATGCCATAAATAATTTCCTAAAATCTCTGAAACTCCATTTTTGTCTGGTCTGTTTTGCAACATGGACAAATGCCCATTTGTGAGCAAATGAGTAACTTTTAACTAATGACACTGAAGAAGGAAGTCAATACACTAAAGCTGTGGCCATACTAGCCCTGACACAGAAGGCAGGCCACAAAAGGACCCAGGAAGGCCAAATTCACATCCACAGTCAGGAAAACAGTTATTCAATAACCAGGATAACTATGTTGTGCCTCAGAGCTTAACTTTTTGGTTAATCCTGGTTCTAATATATGAGTTTATTTTTAAGTACACATTTTTGTCTGGTCAATATATGTGTTTCCCATGCTATTACTGGCATCTTCATCAAGAGGAAATAGAATGGGTTGCATGGTGTACCTCTGAAGCACCTCAACTCTGAGAACTTTGCTGTTATAGCCATTGCCATCTGTCACCTGATAGAAGTTAAGAGGTCATCAAATCACAGTCATCATAGTTGGAAGTGACTCAGATGTAATTTCACCAGAGTGTCTTCCAAACAATTGAGTCTCCTCTATGCCCCAGTCTTTTTTTTTTTTTTTTTTTT